CTGGGGCTTGAACTCAAGGCCCAGGCACTATCCCTGAACTTCTTTTGCTCAAGGCTAGCACTCTACCACTTAAGCCACAGTGCCATTTCTGGCTTTTTCTGTTTATGTGGTACTAAAGAATTGAACTCAGGGCTTCATGCATGCTAGGCAAGCACTCTACCACTAAGCCACATACCTAGCCCCTTCTCTAGACTTCTTAGACCCACACGTGCTTTGCCTGTTTTAATACTTTAGATGTATGCAATCACATTCGTTTGTATGTGGCTTCACCATAATGTCCAAGAGATTTGGTCGTGTTGTTGCACATCATGGAAAGAGGGTTAGAGGAGGAGAATAGAAGAGAGTGAAAAAAATAGTAACAGTGTCCAACAAGAAAAGTACTCTGTTACCCCTGTGTACATCACCTTTATAATAATTTTTCAAAAAGGAGAGAGGTGCTCAGGTGCCCATTTGGACAGAGCAAGGTGGCAGCAGGTGGGAGGGTACATGGCAATGGCAGCAACTGTGGCCTGCAGTAACGAGAGGCTATGGGGATGGAGAGAAAGGTGAGGAGCCCAATAGCATTGTTCTATGTGTTGTGGGGTGGTCCTGGGGCTTGAACTCAGAGCCTGGGTGCTGTCTGGTAGCTTTTTTCATTCAAGGCTTGAGCCAGGGCTGGGAAGGTGGCTCAGTGGTAGAGTGCTTGCCTTGCATGCATGAGGCCCTGGGTTCGATTCCTCAGCACCACATAAGCAAAAAAAGAAAAAAAAGCCAGAAGTGGCGCTGTGGCTCAAGTGGTAGAGCACTAGCCTTGAGCTGAAGAGCTGAGAGACAGCGCCCAGACCCAGAGTTCAGGCCCCACAACTAGGCCCCCCCCCCAAAAAAAAGGCTTGAGCCATAGCTCCACTTCTAGAATTTTGGTGTTTATTCGAAAAGTCTCACAGACTGTCCCACCCAGGTTAAATTTGAATCATGGTCCTCAAATATCAGCCTCCTGAGGAACTAGGATTACAGATATGAGCCACTGGTGCCTGGCATTTTAGCAGGGCAGAATCTACAGTATTGGCTGGCTCTTTTCAGGGGTATGAGAGGGAGAGACAGAGAGACAGAGACAGAGAGAGACACAGAGAGAGAGAGAGAGAGAGAGAGGAAAGTCAGAAAGATGCCAGTTCTCTGGCTAGGGTAGTTTGGAGGAGGCATCTTTAGGGTGGAATCTACCAGGGGTGAGGGAGGGAACATGATGAATTTAGATTGAAGCACAGCCAGGGGAGGTAGCTGTGGGACCTACAGAGCACTGACCCCCGCAGTATCTCCCAGCACTCAGCAGGCAGGGGGTGTGGCATCTCTAAGAGCACGCACCGAGGGCCAAGGGCGGGCACCAAGCAAGCATGCAAATCAGAATGAAAATATCAAACACATAAAACTGTCCTGTCTGGTTCAGCAGGGCCCTCCTGGAGTCCAAAACCAGGTGTACCAGCAGTCCAGGAGGATTTGAGTTGCAAAACATCCTGAGGATTAGGGGCTCTCCTATCCCTGTCTCTGTCAGTCAGCTCAGCCAATGGTTCTTTCCCCCTCTTACACCCCCCCCCCCCCCCCCAGTCAGCTGCAGCTTACTCAGCAAAGCCTTTTCTCCAGCCTGCCAGGGACACTTGCCTTTAAAGGCAAAAGAACCTTTTCCGGGCTCCACTTACTCACTCCAGACTCCCGGGCTACATAGGACCCGCCCGGCATAGCACCGCCCCATCCCTCAGGCCCAGGGCCCATTTTCATGCTCTCAGACACGCACTAAGCAGGAGCCCGCATCAGGCATCAGCCAGTGCACCTGGCACCTCCCAGCCAGTCCCCAGGAGATTTTTTCTTTTTCCCCTGACTGTCTGGGGCTCAAGTAGCTTGACAGCAACTCAGACATTCTGAGTTCCTTCCATGGCTAAAGTCAGCCTCCAGGAAACAAAGCTGCCAGTGTGGGCCTTGGAGAGGGGATGCATTAGGCAGCTTCAAGATGAATGCTGGGCTCCACCATGTCTTCACACTCCCTTTAGAGTCTCAGGTAGGGAAAGCTTTGGGGAAACGGGGATTTCTTCTGCTCCCGTTTCTGCTCAACAACTCTCCGTGGCTCCCCATTACCTACTGAGTAAACTCCTGACTCCTGTACCTGGCATTTGGAAGCCTTCACGATCCTACCTCTTCAGCCCCTTCTCCCTCTCCCTCTTCTCTTCAACCTCCCTGGAGCCAACCACACCCCCTGGAGCCACTTAATGGACACTGGCTTAAGCTGCTAATTTTTGTTTCCTTTCTAGACTTCTGTAGTCCCTCTTTTGCCTCAGGCCAGCTCAGATACTTCTCTTCAGCCCCCCCACCCCATTCCCCTCCCCTTTAAATTCTGTTTCCAAGGACTCAGATACCAAAATAACAAACCAGTCCCCTGGAGAATCTAACCTCTGATCCAGTATCCAATAGCTTCTGATGACCTGGCCTTTAAGCAATAGCCTCCAGGGATCATAAAACACAGAGAGAAGATGCCAAAAAGTGGAATTTCAAGCAGGCAATGAGGGGTCTGTGTCTGGGCAGGTATGGTCAGGTGGGGCAAAGGTAAAGCTGCTTTGCTGGCTAACTCTGCTTTGTCCTCAAGTGCCGCCCTGGCCACGGGATGGGGATTTGCCTGAACTCCTGATATCGAGAATTAGTAGCGTTATTGGGATAAACCTTTATCCCCAGGCTGACCTAGGAGGGGACTGTAATGTCCATTTTATAGATCTGAGTCTTGAGGCTCAGAGGAGAGCAGAGTTGTATTCAGGGACATCTGGCAGACCCTGTGGTAGGAGGTTCCAAAGGAAACAGCAGTTGAGAAGAAAAACCACGAGTACTCAGGATGCATAATGTCCAACACAGGGTGGGTTCACTTTCAGTAACACTGCTCAATTTCTACCAAAAACATTCAGCCTTTCAATAGATAGAAAAACACAACTGCCAAGACCATAGAACTGATTAAGGCTTCATACCAACTAAGCTGCTGGATGCACATAGGAAGGTAAATATTTTGTTTTTTGACATTTCTTTTGATGTTTATTTGACCATGCTTGGTTAAAGCTATGTACAATAAATCCGTGAAAAAGCCAGCCAGGTGCCAGTGGCACATACCTGTAACCCTAGCTACTCAGGAAGCTGACAATCAATCGAGGTTCAAAACCAGCCCATGCAGGAAACTCCGGGAGACCCTTATCTGCAATAAACCATCAAGAAGCCAGAAGTGGAGGCGTAGCTCAAGTGGTAGAGTACCAGCCTTGAGTGAAAAAGCTAAGGGACAAGCCTTGGCCCTGAGTTCAAGCCTCCAAATGGGCACCAAAAAAAGCAATAATTAAATCTACAAATAAAGTAGTCTTACTATACATTTCAAGACAGAGACTTCACAAGTCTAAATCTGGGGTCCCATCCTTGATCTCAGGATGCAATCCAGAATTATTCTCTAACTTTCTGCTACCTTTGTACCTCCTCTTCTCATGGACAAAAAAATAGCCTTCCCTTTCAACTACTTAGTGAACTCCTATTCAGCCTTCCAAACCATTTTCACATGGCCTCCCACTTTCTGAAGCTCTCCCCCCCCTTCCCCTTCAGTACAAATCCTGTTTCTCTACAAAGACTTATCCTGTGCACTTGACCTGGGGACAGGGATGCCCATCCTCTCTCTTGCTGTGCCTTTAGGCTAACCATAGAGTTTTATGCCCTCGTGTCTGAGAAAGCGGTCAGTACAAAGCTGTGTGACCCATGGGCTGAGTGGGGCATACCCACACCTGGGAAGCTGCAGCCTACTGACTGCACGTGTGAGAACTTGGGGAGGCCAGGGAGAGACACTAAGCAGGGAGGTAGCCAAACCTGAAAGAGCGATGAAAGACTAAAATGTCTGAGCTATCCAGACAGATGGTGGTGGGAGGGACCCCAGAGTGAAGCTGAGCAGCCACTCACTCCTCTGGTCACCCTTCCCTTGCTCTACTCATTCACCTTCTGTCCAGGCTGCCAATATTGCTCTCATTCTGGGGGGGACAGTCAGAGGACAGTGGTGAACTCAGGATCATCAAGGGATAAAGGGAGCTAAAGATCCACTTGATGGAGTCAGTAGCGCTTCTGGAGGAACACCTACTCCTGGGCTGATTTTGGCATGGGGAGGTAGGCCCACCTAGTTGTGCTGTGAGCCCGAGATCTGCTGTGAGAGGTGAGGTCGAACCTGTGAACTGGGCCCTAAGGAAGGACCTTGATGCCTAGGCTCGGGCTTCACTCCTGCCACAACACCAGATACACAGTTGAGCAGGAAACTAATATAGTCAAGAATGGAAAACCAGAGGAGACAACGGAGAAGGGAAATTTGGATGAGGGAGTAATGGAAGGTGCAGTTAGGAAGATGTGATGCTCTGACAGCCTGGTGAGGATTCTCAACTTTCCAGGCTTAGCACTGACAGACTGCAGACACTGCAGCCCTGGGCAGGGCTGTGCTCAAAAGGGCCTGCTCTCTTCCAAGATAAACCAGAGTTTCTGATTGAAACCGGCCCCACCATGATCCCTGCCACAGGAAAGGGACCCTCAGCTTTAATCTAGGATTCTGCCCAGATGTTGAGACTGTGGTCTTTCCCTTCATGACATCTCACTGCTCTAGAAGAGGAAATTAGGTTAAATCAGGTGACCACAACACAACTCCATTCCCAGGAACTGTGGACTTACCTTGTGTCAGCACATGCTAAAAACTTCATGAATTCACCTGCAAGTTGTAATTTTTTTTAGCACTTAGGCTGTGTTGTAAATTTCATGTCACTCAGAAAAAACACATGGACCTGGCTGGGGCTGGTTTACAGGTAAGGTGGCTCAAGGCCAGGCCTTCCTGTCCTTAACCATTCAGCCTCTCATGTCCTCACACTTGGGTGTCACCGTGGGCTGATTACCTGGACGGTCAGAAGTACAGGAAGACCTCGAGGAGGAGGTGATTTTACAGCAGGACATAGGGAGACAGAGGTTTATTTTTATTTTTGGCAGAGGGCCCAGCTAGGGCAAAAGCAGGGAGGCGCTTCACCGGGGAACAGGAATGTGGAGGGTAGGAAGAGGGAAGGGAGAACTCCATCACAGAGCGGGACCTCCCGCAGTCGCTCTAAAATACTACTTAATGCCGCTTCCCACGTAAGAGACAGCTGTAAATACTTGGTAAATGTTGACTCACTTAATCTCCCTAACAACCCTAGAAGGTCGTACTACGACGATCTCCAGTTTAACAGACGTTACTCCGTGGCACCGTGAGGAATCTAGAGTCTTCAAGCGCTACCCTACGCGGCTTCCAGTTTGCTTTCCGGCCAAAGCACCAGCTCCTGCGTTTTGCTAGGAGGCCACGGAGGCTCAGAGAGGTGTGCACACTTGCCCAGGGTCACACAGCGAGCGCCCCCACGGGTCCCGGAGTACTGCAAGTAGACAGCCAGCCAGCGCAAAAGAGGCCGTCAGAAATCCTCCACCCCTCGCCCCCTCACCCCCACCCCTCGGCCCCCCCTTCCCTCAGAGCCACGCCCCGGACGTGTGGGGACCCAGGCCCCGCCCCAAGGCTCTGCCCACAGGCCAGCCAATAGCCGGGGTCCTATAAACGCTCGCTTTGCGAGCTCCGTGCGATTGGCAAGAGGTAGCGCCCGAGTGGGGTAGGTCGGGGGCTGCGAGTGCCGGAGCGAGCCCACCAGAGAGCGGGAGGCCCAGCGACGGCGGGAGTCGGAGTCGGAGTCTCGGGAGCCGAGCGGAACCGGAGCCGGAGCGCACCGCTCGAAGCCGCCCGCGCACTCGGCGCTGCCAGAGCCACCGGCGCCGCGCGGCCATGGAGCCCAGCAGCAAGGTGAGTGGCGCGCCGCGGGCCGCCCGCCGGAACAAAGCGGGGGCCGGGGCCACCTCCCCGCCCGCGCCGGGGGCCGGGGCCGGCGGCGCGCCTCTCCGAGCCCCGCTCCCAGCCGCCCCGGGAGCGCGCTGGCCGGGGGCTCGGCGTCCGCGAGCCCGAGGGCGCCGCGTGCGTACTTGGCGCCAGCACCGAGTCCCCGGCTTCCTTCCGGAGGCGCCGCGCCATCCACGCGGCCCGGCGGGAGCCGGGGACACTGGGCCCCAGCGCGGCACGTCGCGCACGACCTCGGCTGCGGCAGCGCTGCGCCGGCTCCTCCCGGCGCGGGGGAGGGGGGCCCGAGCGCGGCGCCCATTGGCTGAGCGAGCCGAGCCCCCGGCCCGGCCCCGGCCCCGGCGCGGAGGAGGCGGGACCCGCCCGCGCGTCCCGCGGGTGTCCGGGCGGCCGCTCCCCTCGCCGGGACCCCCGCGGCGCGTCCCCGGCCCCGCGCGGTGCTCGCGCCGGCCTCCCGAGATGCCCAGGCGGAGGGAACTTCCTGCGAGCCGGCCGAGGGGGCGAGGGTGCCGGGCACGCTCCCCTGACTCCTCTTTCCGAGTAACCCGGGGAGACGGGCTGCGAGGAGGCACGTGGGCCGGGCACCGGGGGCTGCCGGCGCGAATTCGGGGCTGGGAAGGGGTCCCCGGGCTGGAGTTGAGCTCCCGGAGCGCCCAGCAGCGGGCCAGGAGCGAGGGACTTCGTCCTCTTTCGATGGGGCCCGGATCTGATCTCTCCTCTCTCTCCTCTCTTCTTTCTGATCTCTCCTCTCTCCTCTCTTAACTCTCTCTCCTCTCCTCCCACCCCCCTCTTCGTCTGTGAATCGGCTGTTCCAGCAAGGGATATTTGTGACTCTGCCCCCAGAGCGGTTGCTTTTCAACAAGTATTTTTGAGCCTCCTCTGCTATGCAGGGCATTGTTTTTACCCCCGTGGGTCCTTGCCTAGAACATTTTCCAGGGTATTTCTTAATTTAAAAATATTCCAAGTAGTTAAGAACCTCTTTGGATTTTTCAGTCTCCTGGGCTGGGAAGACGACACAAGGATGTGCCCTCCTGCACGCGCGGCGCGCGCACACCCCCCCCCCCCCCACACACCACCCCCCCCACCCCCCTTTTTTAACCCGGGATTCCAGCAGGTCCAGCACTGAAGTCTGAATTGCCCTACCTGTGAGCTGTTGGTGACTCCAGGTTGTCAGAGGAAAAAGTCTCCTCCATACCCGTTGAACTCTGATGACTTGGGGTCCTTTCTGCCTCTTGGTTCTCGGGCTTGAGGCACCTCTGGAGGAAACTCCTCAAGTGCCTTCATGGCTAAGCCAAAGTAGTGGTGTGTAACAGTGAAAATACAAGAAAAGTAATCAGCACAGTGACAAGGCTGAGACTTCAAAAAAAGCCCAACTAAATGCTTACTTGTGTTGTCTTCTGACCTCTGGCGGGCCACACTTTCTCCAAGGAACTTGTTTTCGTTTCTTTAAGGAGAAAGAACTGTGCACGTGGTATATATACCAGACCTGCGTAGTTAAGAGTGAGTGGATAAATGAATATTTTGACTGCAGACAGAAGAGAGGAGAAAATTACCTGTCACTTAACAGTTTACCCAACTTGTGGCTAAAATGTCTCTCAGTTATCATTGACCACATAGCCCTGATGTGCTTCATCACCCCCAGGGGCGCTCAGAGAAGGGAAGTAACTTTCTTGAAGTCTACAGTTACTAATGGGCAGAGCTGGATTTGAACCCAAGGAGAAAGGGCTTTCATCCTGCGTTCACTGTCCCTTTTCACCGCCATGTCTTGAATTTTGAGCTGAGGGGAGAAAGTTTGCCTAACTTCGAGACACCTGTGCCATCGGGTGGGAGTGCTACAGCAGGTGGGTGATTTTCGCAGTGGTTTTTGAAACTTTGCACTGCTTCTCCAGTAAATTGTGTTGGAGTGCTTCCTTCCCGGAGCTGAACTGTATTTCTAAATTCATATGTATGGACTCTTACCTATGAGAGTATGTGCCTGTATCAAATGGAAATCTTAAAATATAAGGTAGCAGTTATGGTCATATTTTCACCCCTAAAAGTTCTCTATTGTGTACACATTCTGGAATAAAGCCCCCTGCCTAGGAAATTGCTGGAGAGCTTGTCTCATTTGGTCTGGTGATTCTGCCATGTTTCCTTTCATCTCCTTGGAACGGAACTGACTCTGCAGCCTTCCTAGTGTGCTCCCAGCAGTAATGAGCTTAATGGAGTAGAAGGTATAGAGGGAACAGGTGGAATGTCCTGGCCAGCCAGGCTTTTGTCCATCATTTCTCCTGGGCAGCAAGGAAGAGTGAGCCCTGCCTCGGGCTGTCTCACTCACCTCACCATTTTGTGCTGAATTTTATGTAGTCCAGGATACCCTCTACTTTAACAATTAGTTTCTGTCATCCAGGAAAAGGAGAACGTGGAAAACTTCAAGGTTTCTCAGCACCTGCTGGTACAAAGAGCATAGGTGTTGGTAATCCTGCAGTGTGGTTTTAAATCCCAATTTAGCTTAGTTGCTTCATCTGCTGACCAATATTGTTTCTATCATTAGAATGTAAGAATTCAGGGGGTAAAAGTGTGGGTGTCTTTCCTCACAGATGCTCCTTGCTTCTTGAACTCTCGTGATACATTGAGTTCACATGGGCCTCGGCCTCTTTTCAGAAGTCTGGCAGTGTGGGGTGGGTTTTTTTTTGGGGGGGGAGAGGAGAGGGAAGGCTCTAAACTATTAGTACTATAATCAGATAAATCATGAAAGCTCCCACTGGTCAGTTCTTCCCAGCAGGGTTTTGTCAGGAAGCTGGTATGCAATGAGAGTCAGACTCAAAAATGAGATCAGCTAGTATGGCTGCCTACCTGGCTTTCGGCTTCTTTGTTCCCAGCTACCTGCCTAGTAAGTCTACTCTAAGAGAGTTTAAAAAGGTCTTTTCACAGAACTAGGGTTGTAGCTCGGTGGTACGACAGTTAACCTAGTATGTGAGGCCCTGGGTCCCATCGCTAGCATTACAAAAATAAAGAGGAAAAGTGAAAACATTTCATGTTCATCATCTTCCTGTGCTCCTCATAGCTTCAAGGTTCAGTGAAAAAAAAAAAATGACCTTGCCAAGGTCACATACTGAACCTCTCACACTAAAACTACCTTTCACAGGATGATATTGAAAGGATAAAGGAGACTAGCATGAAGACCTTCCAGCCATTTGACAGATGGGGAATCTGAGGCCAGTGAAAGGGAAAGACAACTCAGATCTGCCAGAGAAGAGTTGAGGTGTTCTACCGTGTTAAAAGAGAAAGGCTTCTCCGTTCCCAGAGTTCTGTGACATTGTCCACCCTCCTCAGACGATAGAAATTCATAAGCCCAGGATTTCCCAAGCCTTTTCTGGCTACAGTAGAAGTATGAAGGCTGTGTTAGATACAACATTTCTGTTAATGGAAACAAGTAGAGCTGTGTCCTAGCTTTTCTGGTGTCCTCAGTTTCCTTCTGTGTGGATGTGGTGAGACTGGACTTGTGCTGGTGGCTATTTTAAGTGGTAAACCTTTGCACGGCTAGGCTGGCTATACAAACAACGTAAACAGCCTCAAGATGATCCTTGTCCTATTCTGAGCCATCCAGGGATTCCACCCTAATTGCCCCAGAGCTAAATCCCCTGATAATCAGCTTGTGGCTTCAGCAGGGAGCTCAGCTCAGTCCAGTCCTGATGATCACAGGGTGTCAGGGACCAGAACTCCAGCTCCAAGGGCCCCCTCCCCTCCATGACTGGCAGAAATGACAAGGCCTGGGACAAAAACAGGAAACTGCAGCAGTTGGGGTCTGCAACCTCACCCCTCACCTCACTTTTGAACATAGAAATTACAAAGCCACTCAGTCTGGTAACCAGTGTCCCCAAGATGGTGGAGGCCAGGAAGGCTCCTGGCTAGACTCCTGGGCTCAGAGGCTGTGTCCAGGCTGGCAGACCCAACCCTGGCTACCAAAACAGACCTCCAATTGTTACCACCCTCCAGGGGAGGGATTGAGTGAGAGGGGTGGAGTGAAGCCTGAGGCTCTGTCATCCAGCCACCAGGCCTGGCAGTAGTGGATGCATAAACATTGGGGTTTTGTGGTAAGGGAGCCGGGGCTCCCAAGATTTCAAACTTGGGAAAGGGAAAATGTAGGAGGGTTCATTCCCTAAACCATTTTGCTGGCTTTGGCCTCTCCAGAGCCTTTATACCTTGAAAGAGGAGAGAGCTCTTGCTGAACCTCAGATGATAGAGGCTTTGGCTACAGAGGCCTCTGCTAGATAGCACGTCTGCCCAAATTACATCTCCCCTAGCCTGGAATTTGGGAGTGTGAAGGAAACGGAAGGGATACATCAGAAACAGCTCTGCATTTATTTGACCTTAGGCCAGCCACAAGTCTGTGGGAGTGGTGTCCCCCACCCTGGTAAGGATAATGCTCCCCTCTGGGTCAGGTGCACGAAGGCTTGCTAGGAGCACAGGATCTGTGCAGCAGTCTTGGGGAGGGGTGCTGGGGAGTCAAAGTAATTTTCAAGGCAGTGATTGGCTTAAGGCCCTCTGCTGGTGGAAGGGTGGGACTTAATTGGAATGGGGGCAGCTAGAGGAAAGAAAGAGCTTCCTTAGCACCCCCACAGCATCCACCTTCCCTGAGCACTTCCTTACTCTGTCTTTGTTGAGTACCTCCTGCTCTGTCTGGCCTGAGCATCTCCTCCTGCACTTGGCCTGTGTCTTCCTCAGCTCCCCATTAACATGGGCATGTGCTGGCTTGGGGTGGCTCTTACAGTATGCCAAGGCTACCCCCCAGGGTCCTGGCCCCAGATGTATGTCTGTACTTCTCTGAGCTCACCCCATCACTCACTATGGCATGGCTATGAATGATGTGTGGTGGCCGTGTTATTCACATGAAGTAGCCATGAAGTTAGGTAATGTCCATCTATAGCCTGGTGGTGGCAATCCTCAGCATGAGCTGAGCTCCCTGAATGGTGGCTCCGGTCTCTGTAGGTGTTTCCTGCACACGGCTGGGTGCTGGCCTGAGCACAGGCCCGAGCCCGGGCGGCCTGGCAGCCAGCCGTCTTCATCAGTGTTGTGGGTGGCATCAGCATGTAGACGACACTCCCCAGTGACCCTGGATGCTGTTTGGGGGCATGGTCACAATCCTCTGAGCCTACTCCACACAAAAAGGTTGTAAAGACCATGCCCCTTCCCCACTCCAGAACTATAAGACAGACACACACACACACACACACACCTCAGCACTCCTGTTTCCCCTGCCATCTCATGCCACATACAGCTGGACGCACCTCTCACCATCCATCTCCTGACCAGTGAGGTTACCCCTACAGTGCTATCTATCATTCGACATTCATTAAAGACTTGACATGTCTATGAAGCAGCCTTTACCTCCCAGTGGGATAAAACCTTAGGTAGAATACTCGATTGTGGATCACCATTTACTCCAACATTTCTGGAGCCAGTGTATGGGCCTTTCAAGCCCTGGCATTGGAGCTGTGTCCAATAACACTCAGATGTGACTGGAAAAGAAACTGGATAAAAATTTTAAACCCAAAACACTAAAAAACAAAACAAAACCTTTCAAGAAATGGAGCCATTTAAAGAAACATAAAAGTAAGAGAGTAAATGCTTTCTTCCAGTTGTCAAAGCTCAGTGCTCACCTGTAGAGATTTTTTTTGTGTGTATGTGTAGAAATATGCCCATAAATGAAGTATTTGTGTAACTGGTTCATACTTTCTACAGGGTCTCTGCAGCTTATTCTGTTCACCAACCTTAGTCTTTCAGGTACTTGAGCCAGTTTCCACACACAAAGCGATTTGCTTTTCTTTACAGGAAAAAGTACGTTCTATATGTATTGTACCTCAATCTTTTTCCTTTTAACAATTCACCCTTGGACTCAAGTCCATAAAGATGTGTTGCATTCTTTTGAGCAGCTACATAATACTTAGGCATGTCCCACCATGATTAGTAAACCACACCCCTACACTTACTTTCTTCAGACCTCTTTCTACTGATAGATTAACATGTATTTCTTTTCTCTGTCTGGCCCTCAAAAGTATCAAGTTGCACAGGCAGGGATTTGGTTTAGTTTATTGCAAAACCCCATTGACTAGGATTGTGGGAGGAACATGCACTTGGGCATAATCTTACTTAGTAATATCATAGGAAAGCTTCAGTTTTGGAGAACAGGAAAATTCTTAGGATAAAGGACTTTCATAAGGTCATATAATAGGGGAGGAGCAGTGATCTTTGCCTATGTCTGGTGTTGTCACAATTACTTTATTTGAGCTGAGCTGGGGCCCATTTTACCACTGAATAAATACCTCCTTAGATGTCCACAGCCCAGTTCATGCACACAGTCCAAGGAGGAAATCGTTTGTATTTAACATCTCATCCTAGGATGAATACCTTTTTCAGTTATTTAGGGAGAGTAATGTGGTTATGCCTGATAGGCTTCAAAAATCATGCACAGTTTGTGAATTAGGTTTGCATCTATAGTAGTTCAGGAATTAGGAGTGTAAAAAAGAAATTGACAAATTTTCTATTAAGGGCTAGAGAATATTGTTGGCTTTGTGGTCCCAGGTTCTGCTTCAACCAATAAGCCGGACTGTTTTTTTTTTTTTTTTTGGTCGGTTGTGGGGCTTGAACTCTGGGCCTGGGTGCTGTCCCTCAGCTCTTCAGCTCAAGGTGAGCACTCTACCACTTGAGCTACAGCGCCACTTCCGGTTTTCTGGTGGTTTATTAGAGATAGGAGTCTCACGGTCTCTCCTGCCTGGGCTGGCTTTGAACCGCGATCCTCAGATCTCAGCCTTCTGAGTAGCTAGGATTACAGGCGTGAGCCACCAGTGCCCAGCCCAAACTGTTTTTTATATGTTAGGTAAATAAAAGAGTATAGCTATGTTCCAACAAAACTAGTTATGGTCCCTGAAATTTGAGTTGAAATTGTTTTCATGGATCACAAAATCTGGTCCATGCCTCCCCTCTTCTCCCCTTCCCCCACCAGTCACCTAGAAATGGAAAGCCCATTCTTAGCTGTATTTGACCCCTAGACTAGGTTGGGGGGGGGGGGTGTAGTTTGGCCAACCTTGGCTTAGAGCAAAATTCAGCAAAGTGTCCAAAAGGTTCCAGAGCTGGAGCCTAGGCTGTCTGCCCCAGTGCAGAATGGACAAGGCCCAGAGAGTTGCTGGAATGGAATTTGACCTACATAGAAAACAGGTAGAAACCTTGTTTCCTTCAGAGACCAGTACTCAGAAATGGGGGGGATGGGGACGGACCTGACCAGGAAGGATATAGAACCTGGCATCAGTGGCACCTCTATTCCTGATTTGAAGCTGAACAGAGCCTTAGGAGGCTGTGGGTATGAGAAACCTCCTGATTTCTCCCTTGAAGTGGGAGCAATCTCTCCCCAGAGCATGGTGGCTAAATCAGGATGTGTGTGAAGCAGTCCCTGGCAGCGCGCCTACCACCTTGCTGGTAGTGCTGATAAGGGCCCAGCTCCCTCCTCTCTTCCCCCTTTCAAGATTGACTAGCAACTTCTGCCTTCAGGGCCATCGCCCAGTGCCTAGGCTCAGTCATGCAAGAATTCTTGAAGGAAATGGCTTCAAGTAGAATCAGTTCTTAATCTGAAGGCCAGGCTTTCTGGGCTAGGTAAGAGGCTAAAACACCAGGCTAGAGATCCAAAGAACTCAAATGCCAGCGCTGCCTTTTATTTGCTGAATAAACTGTCTAACAAATGAGGGTTGCAAAGCAATCTGCAATATGGGAGGGGGAAGTGCTTTTCTCTCTCTCTCTCTCTCTTAAATCATTAGAGCTTTGTTTAAATTAAATCAAATTAAAGGCAAGTGGGGGAGCTGTCATGGCTCCTGCAAAGCCTCTTGACCCAAGCTCCAGCACACCCTTGACAACCATGCAGGAAGCAGTGGGAACAGGACAAGGAGGAAACAATAGATGGCTGGCTGGATACAGCCAGCTCAGTCCCTCCCACAGGAAACACCCTGCCTCCCAGTGGCAGTACCACCGCTCTCCCTCAGTCAGTATTGACTGAGAACCTGCTGCAGGCCAAACCCTGGTGGAGAGAGAGTGCTGTCAGAGGAAGAACACACAGACAGGGGTCAAAAGGCCACAGCTAGGCCATCTATATTCCCAAGTGTGTGGATGAGAGGTTTCAAAGGTAACACCTCACCAATGGCTCCTGGAGAGAGGGAGAGCTCTCAGTGCACCCTCTGAATTAGGATAAATTAGAAAAGAGATGGTAAGATGGGGACAAGATAACCCCCTGTATACCAGAGGCTGAGCCTAGCCCTTGGTGCTCTGAGGATTGGGAGAACTGGCCTGACTCAAAGTGTCTTCACTGCAGCCCTGTGGGCTTGGGATCGGTTTGGGGGTGGAGGGGGTATGGAGGCAGAAGGTGTGCACATAGCCTGTTCCCACCTCTTAGAGCTCTGAAGTGCCAGTGCTCATCATAGTTTAATTGGCTCAGAATGAGCTCTGTTCCAGCATGTAATGAATGCACACACACACATGCTCACACGCTCACACACATACACATGCATGCATGCACACATACACCGTGCACAGAACATGTTTTGCTCTTAATTAAATTGATAAATGGTGAGGTTTTTGTTTTACAATTGCCCTCTGCTTTTCCCTGTCTGGGGGCACTCTGGCTGCAGAGACGCTCAATCAAGGTTCCATAGTTAAGAGTTCCCCCTTGGGAGTGGCAGATGGCAGTTAAGTTGGAGACTTCAGAGGTAGCAAGCACTTGGGCCTGAAAAACCATAGAATGTTCTAGAGGGTAGCTTCATTCTCAGAGGGTGATGACAGGGCTGTTGGAGAAACAGACTCTGCTCCTCCATCCTTTAAAAAGGCTTCCACAAGAAATCCACAAGCTATGAGGCTGGTGTCTAGCTTGCTACTTAAATAAATGCATGTTAAGTGAATGAATTTTACTTCTGATTTCAGATTCAGCCACAGGCTGGTTGTGACAGAAAGATAACCATGGCCCAATTGAGTATACCTTCGCATCATAACCTGCTTGAACATACACTGTTGAACTCTGCCAGGCTCCATGATATGTACCAATATATAACTGGACAATAACCTTTCTTTGGTAGGGGGACAGTTCTGGGCTTGAACTCTGGGCCTAGGCATTGTCCCTAAGCTCTTGTGCTCTACCACTCGAGCCACACCTCCACTTCCAGCTTTTTTGGACATGAGGATCTCATGGACTTTCCTGCTCTGGTTGGCTTTGAACCTTGATCCTCAGATCTCAGCTTCAAGGGTAGCTAGGGAGGCACTTAATCCCCATTTCTTAGGTAAGGGAACAGAGGACCACAGGCAGGACTACCTGGATCCCAACTCTAAGGTTAAAGGAAGTAGTTTGATGCATTTAAACCTTGGTGTCCTGATTCCAAGTCCAGCAGGTTATGATCGCCAATGAGAGGGGGAGTCAGGGGCCTGTGGCGAGTCTCAGTGCAAGAGTTGATCCAAGGGCTGGGATGGGCCCTGCTTCTTTCCTATAGCTTACAAGCCTTGATGAGTTTTGTGGAACACCAGTTTCTTAAGTCTGTTTCAGTCCCTCGTTCTCCACCCTTCCCCTCCTCCCCCCCCACACACTGCACATACTGTTCTGTCTACCTGGAATGTAGTCTTGCCTCTAGTTTCCCACTTGGCAGACTCTGTTTGTCCTTCACACCCCAATTCCAATGTCACCTCCTGGGAACTCATCTTTGATTGTCCCCAGGCAAAAATAGAAGTTTCCCTCCAGGGTTCCCTCAGTTCCCTGTACCACCCCTGCCACAGCCTGGACCAAATTGGCCTACATTATCTTTTGCCTCCTCACCAGGACCCTCTGACCCCATGCTTCCTGACAGGTATAGGGTTACTCCTTCCTGAGTCTCAACAGAGACCACATGGGGTATGCGTGTGTGTGTGTGTTGGGGGGGAGCATGGGTCATTAAGTCTACTGAATTCTACTACAGTAGCCTGCCCCGGTAGGTGTGGATATAACTCAGGATTTATGAGGCAGGTTTTCTAAAGTGACGTTTGACCTTGACCTGCCAATGACCAAGTCTTGCAGAGTTTGTCCTTAGCTCCCAACAGCCCCCACTCCCAGTCTAGCTGCTGCTCAGTGGATCCTCAGCTTCTGGCATCTGAGAAGTCAGACTTAAATAAAGCAGGGCCTGTAGTAGAGTGCTTGTCTCACACAAGTTTCCGCATAAATTTTTCAAGGTCTATGAATTGTCTCATCAATTTTCTCTTAATATTTTCTTATAAATTGCTTTGACGTAAACAGTATGAAATTACAGGGCTTGTGAAAAATTATTTGGGGTAGGTGATATATTTACATGGATCAAAAATTTAAAAACGTGCTAGAGTACAAAGTGAAATCTTTTACCTTGCCACCCATCTCTCCAAGCTACATTACTACCTTTCCTATTCTCGTGTGTGTGTGTGTGTGTGTGTGTGTGTGTGTGTGTGTGTGTGTGTGTGTGTGTGTGTGTGTGTGTGTGTGTGTGTGTGTGTGTGTGTGTGTGTGTGTGTGTGTGTGTGTGTGTGTGTGTACCAGTACTGAGGCTTGAACTCAGAGCCTAGGCACCAAAGCTTTTTCACTTGAGGCTGGCATTCTACTACATAAGCCACAGCTCTACTTCTGGCTTTTTGGTGCCTAATTGGAGATAAGAGTTTCACAGACTTTTCTGTCCTGGCTGTCTTTGAATTGTACCTCTCAAATCTTACACTTAGACCCCTGAGTAGCTAGGGTTATAAGTGTGAGCCCAGCTCTTCTGCATTCTTTTAAGTAGGCATGCTTATTCCCCATTCCTTCCAATTTTGATGTGTTTTGTTTTTATGCAGAAGGTTGCAGATCATACTGCTCTGGAGCTTGCTCTTAACTCTGTCACTTGGAGACTGTACCAAATCAATACATAAAGAAATGAACCATATTCAGAGTCTTTAATGACTATTTCCTACAAAGGGAGCAGGAAATTATTTTCTGTTTCTCCCTACTTTAACTCTATTATATGAAAATAAATTCTTGCTAAAACTTAAATAAAAAAGAACCTACTGTATTCCATTATGTACCTGTGCCTATCACATTCAGTCATTGACTGCATTGCTAGTTATATTTCTCTTCTAATATGTACTTTACTAGAAGGATGCTTACTTTGCATACATAAACATCACACCAGAATATCCCTGATATATATAATGCATGCGACTCACCAGACAGCCCAGCACATGAAGGTTTTAGCTGCTACCATTGAGTCTTTCTGCTAATGGTTAACACCTTACTAGAGGCTCTTCTTCAATCCCAGTGGTCACTTGAAGTCTGGACTTGTTCAGAGGCTTGTCACAAGTTCACCGTATTTTCAATACAGAGCCCTGAAAAAGAGTTGAGAGAAGGAAGACTTTGGGTAGATAGAGCCTTTTTGAGGATCTAGCACTAATGGACACTTTGTGGCAGATGGAAAACCCAGATGTGTAGGGTAAGTGTCCAGAGATTAGCCAGAAAAGGAGAGACAAGACAGGTCAGTGGAAGGAAGGCCTTGTTGCTCTGACATAGAACAGGCTTTCAGTTGTGCACTGGGAGTAGCCAAAGTCTCCCTTCCTCTTTCTCAGCCTGGAATATGAGAACCATGACTTTGGTAATCCTTGTTCTTAAGATCTACTTAGAACAAGTCTGATTTTTGGCCCGCCAAGCACTATCTGCACCAGTCTCTAGCATTGTATGTGCCAGTCTTGAAGTTAGCACTTTGGCAATCTTGGCTCCCTTCTCCCACAACCAGTTCAGGACCTGTCTTGTTGAAAAAGAGTACTCACCTTTGTCTAGCCAGCAGACACCTCTCTGGCCTTTTGCCTGTGTGTAAGCAAGGCCCTTTCACCTGCTCTAACCTTCCTCTAGCCCTTTGCCCTAAGAAACACTTTGCCTGACAACTGTTAATTCACCTGTGTCCTGTACTGTTTTAGCTGGTATGTCAGCTGTGTAAAAGTAACCCTGGAAGCTCTTGGTTTGAGTGGCATTGCTATGAGGGGCCTAAAATGTGGGATCTAGAGCCTTGAGTTCCCAACCCGTGTTTGCTGTGGAGCCCTGAGTGATACAAACTGATTTTTCCTTCTCAGAGCCCAGGACAGGGTGGACCACGTCTCCAATGCTAACTAATGTGACTTGCCATTTCATAGACAAATGTAGAAGATGGGGAGGCAGTGGGAAAGGTGATCCATCCTGCTAGCATTCTGAGGAAATGGGCAAATGGGCTAGAATCAGAGGGCAGCACCTTTGAGCCCAGATTCACAGCTCTTCCTCCCATCTGTGCTGCTACTTTTATATAATATGCTTCTCCCTGTGCATGGAGGGCTGGTTTTTGGATCTCCAAGAGGATCTAGACTCCAAGTATGATTCCCACTAGAGAAATGAGACCCCAAAGAATCAAACCTGCCTGTAGAGAGAAGACTGATTCTTTTCTTCTGTCCCTGTAAAGTGGTGGAAGTCAGCAGGGCAGGTTTGGGCACCTGGAGTCAGGAAGTGGCTGAGTTTCCTGGAAGAAGGGCAGTGTGTTACCAGGAGTCAGGCAAGATATGTATGTGCACATGGGAGCCTGCCAGCCTAGGCTCTGCTGCAGTAACCTGAGCCTAGACATGTCTGTAACCATGTGGTTTCTTTCTCTGCAGAAAGTGACTGGCCGCCTCATGCTGGCCGTGGGAGGGGCGGTGCTTGGATCCCTGCAGTTTGGCTACAATACTGGAGTCATCAATGCACCCCAGAAGGTAAGTGCTGTATACCATCCCAGCCTACAGATACCAACTTGCTCTGCATACCATACACTCCCCCACCCCCATCCACAACACACATACTCATGGCACCTGGATATCCAACTTGCCATCTGCCTCCCCAGGCAGGGCCCATGGAATACTGGGTTCTCTACAGATCATGTGGACCAATTTCCCGTCCAGCGCAGCCATTCATCATGACCAAAGCAGCACTCAGTACAGTGAGGCTGCATTAATCTGGTAACATGGGCCTCCCAAGGGCTTTTATAGAGCTTAGCTTCCTTGAGATTCACTGTTGTGAGCAAGGTAGGCTGGCAACCATCAACCCTGCAGGTGGAGAAAATGGCCAGAAGAGAAACCTGGTCAGCGTTACCACCACAGAAGCGCGTGCACACACACACAACACACACACACACACACACACACACACACACACACACACACACACACAGAGTTACCACCACAGAGCACACACACAGAGGAGAAACCTGGTCAGCGTTACCACCACAGAGCGCGCACACACACACACACACACACACACACACACACACACACACACACACACACACAGTGTTACCACCACAGAGCACACACACAGAGGAGAAACCTGGTCAGTGTTACCACCACAGAGCACGCGCGCACACACATACACACACACACACTGGCCAGAGGAGAAACCTGGTCAGTGTTACCACCACAGAGCACACACACACACACACAGAGCATATTCCCTTATAAGGCATCCAGTTCCAGGCTGAACTACCTCTAGAGGCCCTGTGCCAATCAAAGCCAAAAATGGCATCTCACACTAGGGAACCAAAGGGAGTGGAATCACTGGGATGTCAGGCCTGGAAGAGACCCTAGTGGTCACCTCCAGCCTGGCCTCTTGCTTAGGGAAAAGACAAGGAAAAGGAGGTCAGCAGGGAAAGGAGGTTGTAGCAGTCTCTCCTGTACCAGTCATTGGCATGTGTTTATGAGGTTGGGTGGTGACTTTCTTTTATAAATAGGAAAACAGAGGCCCAGGTCACATAGCTAGTGAGTAGTGGAAGCTCTTGTTTCTATGGCCTCAGGCTGTCTTCCTAACAAACTGCCTTGCCATTAAGAAAAATTTTATATATTCTTAGGGAAGGCACATGAGAGTAGCAGACCATGTCTGCTGTCCATATGGGTGAGACCAGACAGTGTGCCTAGCTTTCAGGGATGAGGGGTCTGTTATGGAAGAACTGGACAACATGTAGAGTCAGAACGGCTTCTTCCAAGTAGGTGGAGGATGGTTGTGGGGACCACACCCACTGCTATAGAGCAGGTCATCAGGAAGGCTTGCCCTGCTGAGTCATACTGAGCTACAGCAGATCTCATGGGACTTTTCCAGGCTTGTCTGACATAGTGGCTATGGACCTAAGCTTGGAACAGGCCCAAGCCCTGCTTTTACTAAATGCACTGTGTTTGTCAAGATATGTGCTCCCTTCTGGAATATTTTTTTATTGTTGATGGTCATGGGGCTTGAACTCAGGGCCTGGGAGCTGTCCCTGAGCTCTTTTGCTCAAGGCTAGTGCTCTACTATGCCGAACTACAACACCATTTCCTGTTTTCTAGTGGTTAATTGGAGATAAGAGTCTCATGGACATTGCTGCCCAGGCTGATTTCAAACCATGATCCTCAGATCTCCACCTCTTGAATAGCTAAGATTATAGGCATGAGTCACTCATGCCTAGCTCCTTCTAGAATCTGGATGGAAAGTCTGCAAGATGAAGAAACTGAGTTCTGCATACTCAAGTCCCCTGGAAACCCCCAAATTCATATCTAATTGGTCTCGGATGCTGTTCAAATCTCGAGGCTTTAGAACTGATTCTGATGTACAGCCTAGGTCAAGAACTACTAGATTAATTAGTGTCTTGTTGGTGGCATCATGAGTTAGTAACAGAACTAACACTCTTAAGACAGGATAGAGGAGGTATTTCCTGTTCCTGGAACAGGGCAGGATAAGCAGGAGATTTGCAGAGGAGGGAAATAAAATGCCCAGAGGAAAGAAACACATATTGAGTAAGGATGAACACTTTTATATGTCAGTAAGTGGGACCAGAGGAGAGAGGGAGAGTCTTGAGGCCATGGCAAGCCAAAGTTAGACTACTATAGACCTTGTGAGTAGGTTCAATCTGCAGAATGGCCAACCACCAGCATGCTGTGGCCCAGTCAGAATGGGCATGTAAGGGCAGACTTCATAGTTGGGGGAGGAGTCTGTGGAGGACAGGCAGGAGCAGATTTGCATCTTAGGAAACCAGTTGAGGCTCCTTGTGTGTGATATGATGGATCTGGAGCAGGGGCACTAGTAAGAAGACCACTGTTGCACTCATGGCCTGGGAAGGAGGAGTGGAAGGATTTGCTCACTAGTTCACCATGCAGACAAGAGAGAACAGTTCAAAATCAGCTTCTAGTTTTCTGGTTGTAGAGGTGTGGGAAGTGAGGAGGAAGCTGGCAGGAGAGGAGTTGGTAGGTGTTACAGGATGGCAGGATTTGAGATGTGGTGCAGCAGCACTGGGCATGAGCAGACGCACTTACACATCTGGGTCTGCTTCTTAGACACACATAGGCTGGGCACAGATTGGCATTTGTATCCAAATGGGTATGGAAGATCACCCAGGGAGACTGCAGGGCCAGCCCCCAAGAACATTGCCAAAGGATACCATAGAAGAGGAGCTGATACCTAACTCCCAGAGACAGAATCTCATAAAACAAAGGCAGGATGTGAAGTCTTGAAGGGCAAGGGTATTTGTCTGGATTATTCACTGATAGGTCCTTGGTACCTAGAACAACACCCATAGTAATGGGCCTGATGAATGCAAGTGAAAGAATGCTGTCAGATGTCCAGAGCTTGAAGTGGACTGTTGCTGAATGAGGAAGAGTCCCTAGATGCCAATGCTTAGGCCAAGCAGCACATGGAGAAGTCTCTCTGGAGTGGGATAAAGAATGAGGAGGATATATAGAGTTGAAGTGGCCCTTCTCTAGAGACTTCGTGGAGAGGAGAAAAGAGTCCATAGTGTCTTGCTTGCTTGCTTTCCTTGTCTTATTTGTTCTTTCTTCCCTCCTTCCCTTTTCCTTCCTTTCTTTCTTTTAGTGCATGTCTGGGTGCCAGTGGCTCACACCTGCAATCCTAGCTACTCAGGAGGCTAAGATCTGAGGATTACAGTTCAAAGTCAACCTGGGCAGAAAAAACAGAACTGGAGAGGGTGGTAGAGAGCCAGGCTTGAATGAGAAAACTAAGCGACAGCACCCAGGCCCTGAGTTCAAGCCCTAGTACAGGGACACACACACACATTTTATTGCAGATTTCTTTGTAAATATGTTGTAAAAAAAATCAGCAGGAGGAAAATGGAGAAGATTCAGAAGTGAGAACAGGAGTCCTGCAGACTCCAGGGTGTTGAAGCAGGAACAAAGAGGGGCATTTGGCCAGCAGGGTTATGACCCTTCTGAAGATGAGAACAAATCTAGAAGGAAGTTCTCCAGTCAAACCTTAGAGCTTCCTAAGGTCAGAAGAGCTGAGCAGGGTGTCACAGGGAGAGAGGTGATTTGCACAGAGGACCCAACTGAGGCTGTAAGCTGGGTTTATGGGAACATATGAGGACATCTATCCAAAGGTCACTTCAGAAACAGCCTTGGGAACACACTGAAATCTAGTGGTGTTTCCGGACCAAGCATAAAGGGTCTGTTTGTAATTTACAGACACCTATATCATACAGGCAGGCCAGAGTTTTTCCAATCAGGAGCAGATTATAAGTGTGGACATGTAAAAGTAGGAAATGAACATACAGCTCGAGCCTATAGAACAAGACAGGGACCACCATTCCTAGGTAG